ATCTGGACATTTGCCGCTACTGCTGCTACTGCTGCTCCTACTTCCGTCTCTGTAGCTTCTTGTGTAGCTGCTCTGTACGGGGCAGCTACGTACGTACGTACGGCATTATTCCGCGTTCATAAGGGTTTCGTTGACAGGGGGGGAGGAGCGGCGCCGGTGTCGGGGGAGGAGGGGGGGAGGGAGGAGGAATAATGAACGCGGCCAAAAGCAGCGGAACGTGGGCTTTCAACGGCCGACCGAAGTCAAAATCACTACCAACCAAAACGGGGATCACCCAAAAAGGGGAGAGCGCGTTTGGGGGCCCGTAACTTAGGGAGGGCCCGGGCGTGCCATTGTGTGTGTGTGTGTGTGAGGGGGAATTGGAAGCGCTGGAGCACTGCAAGAAGGGGAATAAGTCGCTCTCCCCCCCCCCGGACCCCCCCGGACCCTCCAGGCCGCCATTTTCACCCATTCCCCCCACATGGGTACGGAACACTTCGACAGTGACCGATCGATTAACGTGCGGTGGCCTCGCGGTTGGGGATCTAACCGACTGGTGGCAGTTACTCACCGCAACCAACGGCATCGGCGCCGCTGACGTCACCATCACTTGAACTCCAGAATGCTACGACATGGTTGCCGCCGCAGCTGACACGGATCGGCCTGCGTACGGCAACCGTACAAGGCCGTGGCGGCAGAGCGCCACCACCGCCGCCGCTGCCGACAGCTGCGCCGTTCCCTCTAGCGGCAACGCTGTCACTTCCCCTGCCGCCGCCGCCGCCGTCGCAGGCCCCTGCAGTACTGCCGGAGGCCGCCGCCACCGCCACCTGGTCTTGGGTGCCGTGGGCGTGAGGGGACTGTGTATGGTGTAGCTGTGGCTGTAGCTGTAGCTGTAGCGGTAGCGGCGGCGGAGGCAGGCGCACCGCAACAGGGTTGTGCGAATCCTGGAGGGAGCCAGTACCTAGTTGCCCTGTGGTTCCAGCTCCGAAACCCCACACGGTCACCCCTGATACCGCTTCGCCTCCTCCTCCTCTTCCTCCTGCTGTTGCTGTTGCTGCTGCTGCTGCTGCTGCTGCTGCTGCTGCTGCTGCTGCTGGGAATAACGTTGACAATGATGTCGGTCGTGATGTTGGTAAAGGTGAATATTGATGTTGATGTTTTCGTGGGTGGGTCGGCCCCGAATGCGGTGTTGCAAGGTGGTGCTCAAGGGAGGGGGGAGCCGAGTTGGGGACACTGCATGTGAGGTCGTTTCCGGCGGCGGACTCGTCGCGCACATCGCAAAGTTGGCGGCCCAGACCCTCCTCTGGCTGCGGCGCCACCGAGGTGCAGCCAGGCCGGGGGGAAAAGCAGAAAGCGGTCAGCATGAAGGCGCTATGATGTCGGGGCGATGTTGACCCGCCTTGGAGATGGGACGGCTGCTAGATTGCGAAAAGTTGGGTGAAAGGCAGCAGGAGATTAAATGTACAGGAAGTAGCTGTAAAAAGTTTATTATAGGTATCGGCTCGCTTTTGAGGAAGATGACGACCCCAGGACTTGGGCAGCCGGAATGAACGGCGGAAGTTCTAGCCTTATTGGGACAGAATGACGAAAAGGTGGAAATGGATGTTTTTTTGCTTAAGTCAAGGTCAGTGATGCCACGGATGTAAGCCTTTTTCATTGCAGCTGATCACATCATAGCAGTAGTGGGGTTGATGGTATGAGCAACGCATTAGTGAATCACTAATCCAGCTAGATTAAGCTTCTCTTGATGCAAATAACGTTTAGGAATACTGTCAGTTATAATGACTAAAAAGCTGAGGCTTTACAAAGCAATCCTTGCAGCGAAGCCAGGTTGGCTGCTAATGCTTACAGCACACGCTGGGGCCCTATCCTTAAACGGACGGACTCGGCAAGCCATGTACCAGCAAGCCATGTGCAGGCTTCATGTACTGCGAGTTCAGATAAATTTACGACCGTTGTACTGACAGCCGGCATATGGAGAAATGCAGGAAGATTCACATATTCCCAACGTTGCGCATGCATTTCATGCGTTGTTTTTTCCGTTGTAGTCCTATTTACAGCCCTTTACTGCTCAGTCAGCGGCAGACTGACGCCGGCAGTGAGCCGCAGTTGTATCATGCTTACAACTCGTTAGCTTAAGAACTGTATCAGAAGCTTTTATAATTCTAAGCTCGCTGTCCACTTGCAACTCGATCCATGGTGAAATCAAGTATAGTTTTAACTGCGCTACTTTATATTGCCTTTCACAGCGCTTCGGGGCAATGGATTCGGGGTACCGGCAACAATATTGCTATTAATATCTCAAGCGACAACATGTACCGGTTTCGTGTGGCAGTTACTCCCAGGCGCAACCTTATCTATGCAATTTCTGGTCCAAATGACACCATCGTGGCATTCAACTTCACCCGTAATACTCGCGGTTTCCAGTCGGCTATTTGGTCTACGCCTCAGATTTCCGGTCTTGCTGAGAAGCAGCCCGTCCTCAACGTTGACACCAGTACAGACCAGGTCTATTTCCTTCATCCAGTCGATGGAAGGATATACTGCTATGACGCAAGCCAGCAAGGTCCCAACGCTGCTGCTCCTGTATGGGTCTCCTCCTTTGTGTGCTCAGACCCCGCCGATACGCGAAACCAGGTAGACGCCGCTACGATTTGGGGAAGTTTCTTAACCCATTGGATCACAACCTGAATCTGAGGTCGCCGGCGATTTTGACTACTTGCGCACTGTCGAATAGTTGCAAGCGTACGGTAATGAGTCAGCGGTAACACGATCGTCTGCTTATGTATGTAATGCTTGTGTTATACGCATTTGACAAAAGGCGAAAACGTTGTTTTGGGATGTTTTCAATCTGGCATATAGGGGCCGTGATAGGAGCCATTCCGTTTGGCAATAGGAATGGCAAGAATATTGATATTGATGCAAGAATATTGATATTGATGTTTACTTCCCTAGAGATAGGCGTGAAGATTAGCCAGAAGATTAGCCAATCCCGAATACTTATCTCCATCCGGGTTATCAGTTTTGACTTAGCGCCTAGCAGCGAAGCCGATTCGCTCCTTCCATCTCTGCCAACCTTTCTGACTGACACTTCATTCTCCTCCCATTCCCCTCGCACACCGACAACCCGCTTCGGTCCCACTTCCCCATTCCCACGTAACCTCTTGCGATTGCCCCCGTCTCCCGAACACACATGCATATATACAAACGCACGTACAGCATGCACATGTTCCCATCTCCCGCTGCAGCACCTTCAAGCCTTCACCGCAAACGGCACATGGCTGCTTGCCCGCTGCAATAGCAGTGTGGTGATGGTGGGTCCAAGGGGCCAGCTGCTAAAGACCTTTGCGGGCAGCAGCATGCGGGCCTACGTGGCGAGCTCAGACCTGGCAGCTGCCATCTCCGTGTACAACAACTTCACTCGGGTAAGAGCGATGTCGGTGTGCGGGGGAATGGAGGGTTGTAGGTTGTAGGGTTTTGAAGTATAGGGTTTAAAAGGCGCAGAGAAGGGAGGTTTTGCAACAGGCAGGGAGTGGCATTGGGGGTTTAGGATGAGAATTGTTTTTTTGTTTAGTTGTGAAGTGGTTTTAGCACCAAGGACCCGCTCGCCCCGATCCGGTTGGGAGTTTACAGTTAGGAAATCCAGTTGGTAGTTGGGTTAACTGCCGCTAACTGTCCCGCCACATAACGGGTTAAGGGTAGTCATTTCAGCGGGTTTCGTCCGGCGGGCCTGACCGTTTGCCGTTGGCCTGTATGCATGTCAGTAACACAGTCCCAGTGGAGCTGCGTGGCTTGCCAACCTGATGCTGTGTTTCGCCCGCCGCCTTTTATCCCCTACCACCAGCCCGCAAGCCTCGTTCAACCCTCCCCCGACCCCCCTTTCCATGCATTGGGCGCATCTTTCCGCCCTTTGCATGTACGACAGTTGACGCTTTGCTTCGTACATCATGTGACTTCCCCCTTTTCCCCTTTTTCCCCCTTTTTCCCTTCCCGCGGGTTCTAAAACCTTCAAAACCTTAAAACCCTTTCTAGATGACGACCTGGATTACCAATAGCTCAGGGGCGTTCCTAGAAATTTGGAAGTTGGATTCCACGTCCCCCCTCCCCCAACGCCCCGCCGCTACCATACGCCTGCCCGCCGGGGTCAACATCTCCGGAGTCAACACCGACGCCCAATGGTGGACCGTTATCGCCGAACGTGCCGTACCTGTCGTACATGTAATGCATTCCTTGACCCTGCAGTACCAGTCTGCGTTTGATTTGGGTCCATTACTTCCCGGCGTGAGGGAGGGGGAAATGGATCTGAGTGTACTGCCAACACCGGTTATCGCCAATAAGTTCATGTACGGCATCGTACAAGGCTTTAAACCGTCGTCGGTTCCGGGTTTATACCCCGACGATTATTGCTGGTGGTTTTTTGCCGTCAATTGTACGGTGCCCAAAACACCTACATTGCTATGGGTGTCCCAGAGACAAGGGACCCGGGGCTTCCTGGCGCCGCAGGTGTGTTTGTACGGATGTACGGATGTACGGAACAGAGGGTTTGGGAAAAAAAGACCCTCAGGGAGGGACAGGGGGGTTTTGTCAGTCCGCTTGGCTCCATCCATGCGCTGCTCGTTGCCATCTCCATCTCTATTGCTGCTGCTACTGCTGCCACCTCTGTCGCCATCTCTGCTATTGCTGCTGCTACTGCCGTCACCTCTGTCGCCACCTCTACTGCTGCTGCTACTGCTGCCACCTCTGTCGCCATCTCTGCTACTGCTGCTGATACTGCTGCTGCCGCCATCTCCATTGCTACTGCTACAGGTTCCCTGGGTGACAGCCCCTGCCGTATTCATTACTGACTACCAGCAGAATGCCACACGGGGGTTCGACAGAACCACGGGTCAGGCCTTTTTCAACGTCCCCACAGACCCCTACACGTTGAAAGGCGCTACTCCGCCCAAGGGGACTTACAAAATTAGGTGTGTGTGTGTGTGTGTGTGTGTGTGCTGGGGGTTCCCGGTGGTGAGGGGGGTATCGTATTGGTGAAAAAGAAGAAAAAGAAGGGAAAAAAGAGGAAGAAAGAAGGAAATTTTTAAGGAAAAGGAAAGAAAAAAGAATAAGAAAGAAAGAAGGAGGAGGAAGGCGGCAAGGATGAATACACCGTGCCAACACGTCGGGGGAACCACCAGCTGCGGAAGGTGTATAAATTGATGACGCAACAACATCGGTTTTGAGGGCGAAGAGAAAGGGAGGGAGGCTTAAGGGGGGAAAAGGAAGCGTAAAAGCTCTCCCCCTCCTCTCCCATGGGGGGAGAAAACCCCACAAGGAAAACGCCTGATACACATCCTTCCCACATCCCCCCCTGGGTCTTCCCCCTGCCCTGCCCCTTCTCCCCACTTCCTCTGCATGCAGCCTGCCATGGGTGTCGTACGACGGTTACTTTCAGGTCTTTCAGAATGACGAATGGCAGTACGACCAAGGCATTGAGGGCGCCGGATCCATTGGGAATATACTTTCCTTACTCGGCACTCCCTTCAAACCTCCACTGCCCCCCTAACCGCGACGCCACCGCGGTAGCCACCGGCACCGCCTTCACCTGCGGCGGCGGAGGCCTTCCACACCGCGCAGCCCCTCACCCCACTCACAACTCCACCTCCCCCGTTTTCCCTGCTGCACGGACAACGTCGCCGTACATACGCCCGCCAGTGCGGCAGTATCGGGATAGCTGCGAAAGTGGCCCGTGCCAGTGCTGCAATACTCGCCTGCGGGGGCCCCCCGCTTCACCCCGGGGGCCGGTTGTCTCATCCCATCAGTATGTTCGGGAGAGCGCGCCGGCTTGGCTTGATGATGATGATGATCTGTGTTGGTGTGCGGGGGTTGTTGGAGGGCTGCTGCAGCCGCTGATCGTACTACCGTACTCGGGTACAACTGGACCTGGACTCTAGGTTTACCTCCTCAATTAGGGCGTCATTTGCCTTTCCCCCAGTGTGACCTTTCTCGTCACGTATGTATGTATGTATATGGGGGGGAGGACGGGAGGGTTCGTGCCGGAAGGAGAGGGGGTTTATGCATGTCCCCTTACGCCCCTCTTGGACTTGCATCCTAAACACCAGCACGTTTCACAGCCCCCGCAGCCTCTCGTTTTATAATTTTCTCTGGTGCACGTTTGGTGCACGCGATTTCCCCCCTCCTCGTCCTCCTCCCTGCGTCCGCCTCGATAAATAAAAAAGCAAAAAGCTGCGAGCTCAACCAGCAGGCAACAGGCGGAAGTCTTAGGTGATCATGAACTTTACTGCAAATATCTGTTTTTGTTGTTGTTGCTGATGTTGTCAAATTGTGATGGCGATAGATCACGATTCGGAAATTTATCGAAAGGATTGCGTCCTGGGGTGGAAAAGATTCTTCATACCTCTCTGGCTTTTTTTCCTGCTTGAAATGCAAACAACCAACTTGTCCTGTGTTGACTGGCTTAACCTGTGCTGTTGCCTTGGGATGGCGAATGTGCCTTTTGAGTTGTGAGTGAATTTGTTGTCCAATATGCTTCGACTTCTCGAAGCGAAGTATGCGTGTATAGATAGGCAAGTAGTTAGTGCGAAGGAACTGCCGTGCTGTGTGGAAGCAGGGCGTATGCATGCATGTGCCGGACCACAGTACGGCAGGGGACGCCAAGCTTCTACTTGGGTCCCACATACTTGGGTCCCACAAGGCGCATTAGTTCTTTAACTGCCGTTGTTTTGACTATTACCGCTGCTGGGACAGTGTCCTCTAGTTTTCCCTCAACGCACCCAGGCAGTCCCGGGATTGCCGCAATGCAGCGGTCCCTGGTTGTTGCTGGCTTTGTGTGGGTCGCTGGTAGGGCTCTTTGGCCCTCGTCGGGGCCCTTGAAGCCCTAGAGATTTAACGGTGCAACGCAGGTAACAGGCTCTATGCGGAATGCGACCCATCTCTGGCTCTGTGTAGTCATATGCCCAAATCTGTTATTCATCTTGCACGTCTGGCCCTGATGCACCTCCAAAATTTCATTGCTAGAAACGTCCTAACGAGAAAGAGAGTTTGTTCGGCGACAAAGGGCTACAACCAACTTTGAACGAACATCACGGAAGTTAGAAATTTTGAGTTTAGCAGAGGTAAATTGTACCATTGGGTGGATTTCCACTTGCTTGGTGGCTTTGTTGAGAATCTCGACTTGAAGGACTGTGCGTTAATTTGACAGCACGGCAGGGCTTCAGTACGACATGATTGCTTCCAGGTCGCGGTTTTCACTATGTTCTGTGTGTCGTATGTTTGTGTCCATGCTGTTATTTTCATGACGTTTCTGGATGGTACCTCCAAACCATGACAAATCAACGCTTGATGTCGCAAAGTGGTTCGGCACCTCGGATGCTCGGCATACGCCGGCGCTTGATTGACAGAAGCATTGCGTCTAGTGGTTTAAATGCAGTGCATCAAAGATGTCCTTTTGGTCAGGTGACTGCGGAGCTTGGCTTCTTACCGACACCTGACCCATTGCAACGGTAGGAACGTGATCAAACACGCACAGCTGCACTTTAGGCATCAGTTTATAGGATTGCATAATAACGTTTTTATCATAGTGTGCTTGTTATAACTAGCAGCTTAGGCTCTAGGGTTTGACTTATTTGTCGGAATGGCGATGACTTCCACTGCCTGCTGCGGACCTGCGAGACATCTTCCGCCCACCTCGATCTCTAGCATGCTCTCGCGTTCTAAACTGGCGATAACCATCGCAAGCCCTCTTCATGTTACACCCGAAAAACATAGTACCTCACATACTCTTATCATCACCGTCGCCACAGAAAGGACAAAAACCTTGAATTACTGCCACACAGCAGAGACCTCAACAACAGACATCCCAGCAGCCGCTGCCCTGGGGCGACCTCGTGTCCTTCTGTCCATCTGTCGCAACCCAAGCTGCCGAGAAGCTTCTGCCCGCCGTACAACCTGCAGCAAAGGTTCCCCACAGCGGCGATCCCCACGCCTGCCTCCCCCATCCCATACCAACCACGTGTATGAGATATACATTCTGCTTCCCAACCGCGGGCCCGGCGTCGTGATCTACTCCGCTTCTAGGTTAGTCCTCAGCCAGCGGAACTCCGCCGCCGCCGAATGGGAGGCGGCGTTACAGGACGTGACCAATCTGGCGGCGGCGGCGGAGGTGGCGGCGGAGGGCCCCAACCGGACGAGTTCTGCAGCCGCCGCCGGAACCTCCACCGTCCGCAGTCCCGGTCCCCTGCGGCGAGCTCTACAGTCTTTGCCGCCCTTCCCCAAAGATGCGTTACTTCCGACGACGACAGCGATAAGCGGCTCGACGGCAGGGGTTGGTACGACGACGGCCGTGACGCCGGCGGCGGCGGCGGCGACAACTTTGGCGGAAAGCGGGGAGCTGTGGCGGGCCTACTTGATGCTGTCGTTCCTGGCGCACGTACGTTATTACAGTTGGTTATTGACGGTTGGGCGTTGCCAGTGAGGCTTTCTGAGGGTGTTGCTGCCGTCTGCCGTTAGCGGCTGTACATTGCGCCGTACACTACCGTACATCGCCGCCATAGTCATACTTTGTGGTTTAGGCATCCACCGCGGCCGGTGACACGCAGGCCTACATGTGGTGTGAGCCTGGCCCGCCGCCTGCCGTACTACCCGCCGTACTAGCTGTCCCATGGGTCCATGTCGCGGCGGCGATCGATATGCCGCCCGTACTGACGTATGCAACGTACAATCTGTATAACTGGAGACGGCTGGATCCGGACGGGCCTGTACGACTGGGCAACATCGTATGCCTGCAGGTACGTGTGCGTCTGTGCTTTGCATATCTTCGTTCGCCGTCTGTCTGTGTCTGTCTGTCTGTGTCTGTCTGTCTGTGTGTCTGTCTGTCTGTGTGTCTGTCTGTGTGTGTGTCTGTCTGTCTGTCTGCCTCAGGAGCTGCTCAGGGTGGGGTAGGATGGTGTACGTGTGTGTGTGTGTGTGGGAGGGGGGGTTCTTCCAGTTTCCCAACTTTCCTTCAAATTTGTCTCCGTTTCGGTTTCCTCCCAGAACTTTCTAGGTGGGCCCGATGAGCAGTGGTTCCGCTTGGTGCATGTGGAGATCGAAGCGCGGGCGGGGAGGGCGCTAGTCGGGCTAGAGGCGGTGCAGCGCGCAGCCCGGGAGGTAGGTGTGTGCGGGGGGTCGGGGGGGAGAGGGACCACAACGGCCCAGGGAGGGAGCACCGTGGCGAGGGGGGAGGGGAAGGAAGGCAGGGCGCAAGACGGAGGGGAGGCAGGGGCAGGGGCGTGGCGAAGTGGAGGGGTCGCCTTAGGTGTGCGTGTGTATGTATGTATGTATGTATGTATGTATGTATGTATGTATGTATGTATGTATGTATGCATGTATGTATGCCGGCCGAATTCGCACTCGGGATTGTTTCATGGCCCCGGGGACGTCCTGCAGGATGACTCAGCTGCCGTACTGGCGGGCTTGATCCGCATCTCCGAGGCTTTACGGGACATGCAAGCGACGCTGGCTCGGATGGGTGCGTGGGGTTGCGCGTGTCGTGTCGTGTAGTAGTGGTAGGAGTGTGTTTTTTGCGGGTTGACAGGTTGACAGCCTAGGTGGTTGTCGGAAGCGCGTATCGGGGTATTGCAAAATGTGTCGGCATGGGCCATGGGCTGACTGACAAGCTGTCTGCTCCGCCAGAGAAGACACCGCATCTATAGAGGTCTGCAAAAACGAGGAATTCGGTCCCGAGGAGTTTAGAAACCCGTACATGTCATATCAGGCCCTATCATAACCCTGCTGCGCCAACTGTTTTTCCAACTGTCTCCCAACCGTAAAATAACGGTTTCCCGTGCGCGCCGCTCACCGGCGGCCGGTTGTCTCTCATCTCTCTGCATTCGAAATCAGGAGAAAAGTGCGATCCGTACATCTACTATCACCGCGTGCGAACGCCCATGTCCGGCTGGCGCAATAACCCGGACTTGCCGCAGGTACGACGGGTACGGCAGGTACGACGACGCTAAGGATGCAAGGATGGGCCTGTGTTGTCTGGTACCTGCCGTACCATACGAGGAGGTCCCATGCCAGCGTTATATTTATACCCTCTTCTAACCACCAGCAACGCCATACCGTAGTGCTGTAGGAAACCCGGAGGGAAAGAAAGCAGCTGGAAGCCTTGCGTACCTGGGATGCCTTCCATACATACAGACGTTATTGGGCTACTGGTATGTCGACGTGAGCCCTAGCTAGGATAGGGCCCAGAACTGTGCCCCGTGCAGCCCAACACTGTGCCATGAAGTATATATATAGAATTGTTTTGGCCGCCGATTGGCACAAATGTGTCTTGACACAGGGCTAGCCATTGTCAATGGGCGGGCACCTGGTGATGTGCCCGGGGGCTTCACTTACTCCAACTCTACTGAGGGTCACAGTTCTATTGATCTGTGCCTTGCATCTTACGGGCTCTTCGAGCAGATTAACACTCTCAAAGTCCTTAGATCTTACTTATGGGGAGAGTCTAATGTGCTGAGTGATCATCACCCGCTTATCCTTCGCCTGCATGCCGTTTTGAGGCCAGGGGCTGCACGGGGTCGGAAGCCTCACCTAGCACGTGAACGGATCCCTATTTTTGATATTTCACGCAAGGGCCGCTTCACTGAGCTTTTTCGTGAACCTGATGGCATTATTACAGAGACCATCAACTCTCTCAAGGAAAAGCTTGTAGAAGGGGCACCCTGTGACGAAAGCATGAATGACCTGCGCACCCTTATCAATAAGTGTGCTAGAGAGACGTTCGGCGATGCACGGGGGATGGAAAAGTCTGTGAAGCGTGACTGGTGGAACGAGGACTGTGCAGCTGCGTGGAATGATATGATGAGTTTCCGTAAGGAGGTCAGGGACCCCGTCTCAGGCAAGCTGCCCGATCTACATAGGACTACCTGGAAGGCCAAGCACCGTGCCTTTAAAAAGGCTAGGAAGGCCGCTATTCAGGAGTTTGAAATGGAAGATATGCGGAGGAGGATTAAGGACGCCCGGTTCAACCCACGCGGATTGTGGACATGGCTGCGTGGGGGAAAACCACCTCCTTGCGGGATCTCAGATATTAATGCTTTTACCGAGCATTTTTCCAAGGTGCTTAATGGTACGGGAGAGACGAGGCAATGCCGCAATGAGGGTATTCAGTTTAGATGGCTGGACGAGGACCAGGTGACGCACAGACGGGAATTAGCTGCTTGGCTTAACGAGGATTTTACGGAGGATGAAATTGCTAGTGGCCTTAAGGCTATGCGCAACAATAAGTCCGCGGGCCTGGAGGGAACCCCGGCCGAGTATTATAAGTACGCTATCAGGGAAACTGAAGGGCAGCAACCCGTGCTTGTGATGGCGCCTTACTTAACGGTGCTATTCAACCGCATATACGGAGCTGAATACCCGAGGGAATTCACGACTAGCACCCTGTCCCCCGTATTCAAAAAAGGGGACGTGTCTTGCTGTGACAATTACCGGGGAATTGCAGTTGGGGGTCCCCTGAGCAAACTTTATGCCAATATCATAGGGAGGCGATTAAATAATTACTGTGAGGGCAATAGGCTACGTGCCGTTAGCCAGGCTGGATGTAGGCATGGTTTTGGCACCGAGCATCACTTGTTTACATTAAGGCATCTTATCTCGAAGCACACTGTGGCCGGAGCCAGGCCGCTTATTATCATGCAAATTGACTTTAGTAAGGCGTTCGACTCCGTTGACCATGAGACACTTTGGGATTTCCTAATGTCGTATGGGCTTCACGGGCGCATCCTCGATTCTTTAAAGGCTAGCTATGCTGACGTGAAGTTTCGGGTCAAGTTAGGAAATAAGTTGGGACCTGAATTCAAGGTGGGGCGTGGTGTTAAGCAAGGGTGTCCCCTTAGCGTAACCCTTTTTGGGCTCTTCATAGAAGTATTCGCTCATTATATTGATGCCCATGATGCTAATTGCCGTGTATGCCTCCCCAGCCGATGGAGCACCCTTCGTGAGCAGAGTGTTAGCCTGGCGGGCGGTGATCTCACTAACCTACTTTTCGTTGACGATGTGTCACTAGTAGCGACAGGGCACGATAGAGCTGAATGCCTTCTGGGGCTACTCGAAGCCTACTGCAAAGCGACGGGTATGGCCGCGAATGCCGCCAAGTGCGAGGTCCTCATTTTTGGGGGTGCTACGCGTGAGCGGAAGCGGCTTGTTGAAGCTGAGTACCGGTTAGGTGGGGTGGGGTTGCGGGTCCTGACCGGCAACGAGACGGCACGGTATCTCGGGTTGCACTATGGCCCAGGAGTGCAGTTCTCAGCTTGTACCAAGCAACTACTCACAGCAGGGAGGCGGGCCACATTTGGGCTCAGCACCCTGTGTCGTGATAAGAAAATTACCACCCCCAAGCTATGTATGTCTCTCTACAATACACTAGTTGTACCGGTGTTTTCTTATGGAGCGCAAGTTTGGGGACCTGACTTCATTAATGTGAATTTTGAAGGTGCTATGGCTAATCCC